ACTTAGTGTAACTATTCACACTTAGTGTAACTATTCACACTATGAGTGTAACTATTCACACTTAGTGTAACTATTCACACTTAGTAGTGTAACTATTCACACTAGTAGTTTGAATAGTTACACTAGTAGTGTAACTATTCACACTATGAGTGTAACTATTCACACTATGAGTGTAACTATTCACACTTAGTGTAACTATTCACACTTAGTAGTGTAACTATTCACACTATGAGTGTAACTATTCACACTTAGTGTAACTATTCACACTTAGTAGTGTAACTATTCACACTAGTAGTTTGAATAGTTACACTAGTAGTGTAACTATTCACACTTAGTGTAACTATTCACACTTAGTGTAACTATTCACACTTAGTAGTGTAACTATTCACACTAGTAGTTTGAATAGTTACACTAGTAGTGTAACTATTCACACTATGAGTGTAACTATTCACACTATGAGTGTAACTATTCACACTTAGTAGTGTAACTATTCACACTAGTAGTTTGAATAGTTACACTAGTAGTGTAACTATTCACACTTAGTGTAACTATTCACACTTAGTGTAACTATTCACACTTAGTAGTGTAACTATTCACACTAGTAGTTTGAATAGTTACACTAGTAGTGTAACTATTCACACTATGAGTGTAACTATTCACACTATGAGTGTAACTATTCACACTTAGTGTAACTATTGTTTGTTGACTATTCGTGTGTAAATAATAATTGCGGGAGCTGGGGGGGGGGGTTGAGGGGCGGGGCTAGGGGAGTGGAGGGGCGGGGCTAGGGGAGTTGATGGGCGTGGCTAGGGGAGGGGCGGGGCTGGGGAGGGGAGGGGCGGGGCTGGGGGATTGTTTGGCAACCCCCTCGGACTCTCAGAGCAGGAAGTTCGAGTCGAGAACGCGGGGACAGAGAGAGAGGGGGAGGGGGGAGAGAGAGAGAGGGGGGGAGAGGGGGGGGAGAGAGAGGGGGGGGGGAGAGAGAGGGGGGGGGGAGAGAGAGGGGGGAGAGGGGGGGGGAGAGAGAGGGGGGAGAGGGGGGGGGAGGTGACAGAGAGAGAGAGGTGACAGAGAGAGAGAGAGGAGAGAGAGAGGTGACAGAGAGAGAGAGAGGTGACAGAGAGAGAGAGAGGTGACAGAGAGAGAGGTGACAGAGAGAGAGAGGTGACAGAGAGAGAGAGAGGTGACAGAGAGAGAGGTGACAGAGAGAGAGAGAGGAGAGAGAGAGGTGACAGAGAGAGAGGTGACAGAGAGAGAGAGAGAGGTGACAGAGAGAGAGAGAGGAGAGAGAGGTGACAGAGAGAGAGAGAGGTGACACAGAGAGAGGTGACAGAGAGAGAGAGAGAGATAAGAGAGAGGAGAGAGAGAGAGGTGACAGAGAGGTGACAGAGAGAGATAAGAGAGAGAGAGGGGGGAGAGAGAGGATAAGAGAGAGAGAGGTGATAGAGAGAGAGATAAGAGAGAGAGAGAGGGGTGGGAGAGAGAGAGAGAGAGGGGTGGAGAGGGAGAGAGGGGGTGGAGAGAGGTTTTGGGATCGGGGTTTGCCCCTTTCAGTCTGCCCGGGGTGAGAGTCCAATGGTCACTACAAAGACAAAGCTCCCCCGGGCAAAGCCTTGACACGCTTGTTGGGCTAAGTGTTCTGTACCAGCAACATCAACAACATCAACATCATCATCAACAACATCAACAACAACATCATCAACAACAACAACATCATCATCAACAACAACATCAACAACAACAACATCATCAGCAGCAGCAGTATCAGCTCATGTCCGATGGATTATATGAACACCTGACGAAGGTGAGTTTGTGGAATTAATGTTGATGATGAGTCTATGGGTCTCTGTGTGATGATGAGTCTATGGGTCTCTGTGTGGTGGTGAGTCTATGGGTCTCTGTGTGGTGGTGATGAGTCTATGGGTCTCTGTGTGGTGGTGAGTCTGTGGGTCTCTGTGTGGTGGTGAGTCTATGGGTCTCTGTGTGGTGATGATGAGTCTATGGGTCTCTGTGTGGTGGTGGTGAGTCTATGGGTCTCTGTGTGATGATGAGTCTATGGGTCTCTGTGTGGTGGTGGTGAGTCTATGTGTCTCTGTGTGGTGGTGGTGGTGAGTCTATGGGTCTCTGTGTGGTGGTGAGTCTATGGGTCTCTGTGTGGTGGTGAGTCTGTGGGTCTCTCTGCTGAGCGGGTGAGTGAAAATTGGGTGGATGGGTGAGTGAGTGAGTGGCTGTGTGAGTGAGTGGGTGAGTGGCTGGGTGAGTGGGTGGGTGAGTGGGTGAATGGCTCAGTGAGTGGCTGGGTGAGTGAGTGGCTGGGTGAGTGGCTGGGTGAGTGAGTGGCTGGGTGAGTGGCTGAGTGAGTGGTTGGGTGAGTGGGTGGGTGAGTGGGTGGGTGAGTGAGTGGGTGAGTGGCTGGGTGAGTAGCTGGGTGAGTGGGTGGGTGAGTGAGTGGGTGAGTGAGTGGCTCGGTGAGTGGCTGAGTGAGTGAGTGAGTGGCTGAGTGAGTGGCTGAGTGAGTGAGTGAGTGGCTGAGTGAGTGAGTGGCTGGGTGAGTGGCTGAGTGAGTGAGTGGCTGGGTGAGTGAGTGAGTGGCTGGGTGAGTGAGTGAGTGGCTGGGTGAGTGAGTGAGTGGCTGAGTGAGTGGCTGAGTGAGTGAGTGAGTGGCTGAGTGAGTGAGTGGCTGGGTGAGTGGCTGAGTGAGTGAGTGAGTGGCTGGGTGAGTGAGTGAGTGGCTGGGTGAGTGAGTGAGTGGCTGGGTGAGTGAGTGAGTGGCTGAGTGAGTAGCTGGGTGAGTAGCTGAGTGGGTGAGTGGGTGAGTGGCTGGGTGAGTGGCTGAGTGAGTGAGTGAGTGGCTGGGTGAGTGAGTGAGTGGCTGAGTGAGTGAGTGAGTGGCTGAGTGAGTGAGTGGCTGGGTGAGTGAGTGGGTGAGTGAGTGAGTAGCTGGGTGAGTGAGTGGGTGAGTGAGTAGCTGGGTGAGTAGCTGAGTGGGTGAGTAGCTGAGTGAGTTTGAAACTCCCCTGTCGAGGTCCGGAAACAGTCTTCCTGTGTCTCTACCACCAAAGACAAAGCTCCCCCGTGTAGCCTCTGACAGACTGTAGGAGCAAGTGCTGTGAGTAGCGAGTAGCAGCAGCAGCGTCTATGAAGGCTACCGGCACTGTGACACACGCAGAGGGGGTGGGTGGTCAGCACCACCACGCCCGGCCGCCTTTGTCTCTCCCAGTGTCACACACAGACACACACAGAGACACACCTACACCTACTCACCCATTCACTCACTAGTGACACACACACTCACCTACTCACTCACTCACCCACTCACTCCCCCACTCACTCACCCATTCACTCACTCACCCACCCACTCACTCACCCACCCACTCACCCACTCACTCACCCACCCACTCACTCACCCACTCACTCACCCACTCATCCACTCACTCACTCACCCACTCACCCAGCCACTCACTAACCCACCCACTCACCCACCCACTCACTCACCCACTCAATCACTCACTTACCCAGCCACTCACTCACCCAGCCACTCACTCACCCACCCACTCGCCCACTCATCCACCCACCCACCCACTCATGCACTCACTCACCTACTCAATCACTCAATCACCCGGCCACTCACTCACCCACTCAACCACCTACTCGCCTATCAAACCCATTCACACGCTCAGCAGTGAGTGGGTGAGTGAGTGGGGGAGTGAGTGGGTGGGTGAGTGAGTGGGTGAGTGAGTGGGGGAGTGAGTGAGTGAGTGGGTGGGTGAGTGGGTGAGTGGGTGAGTGAGGGGGTGAGTGGGTGAGTGAGTGGTGAGTAAGTGGGTGGGTGAGTGGTGGAGTGAGTGGGTGGGTGAGTGGTGGAGTGAGTATGGGAGTGAGTGGGTGAGTGGGCGGGTGAGTGAGTGAGTGGGTGAGTGGGTGGGTGGGTGAGTGAGTGGGTGGGTGGGTGAGTGAGTGAGTGGGTGAGTGAGTGAATGGGTGAGTGAGTGGGGGAGTGAGTGGGTGAGTGAGTGAGTGGGTGGGTGACTGAGTGAGTGGGTGAGTGAATGAGTGGTTGAGTGAATGGGGGAGTGAATTTGTGAGTGAGTGGGTGAGTGAGGGGGTGAGTGAATAAGTGAGGGGTGGGTGAGGGGGTGAGTGGGTGAGTGAGGTTGTGGGTAAGTGAGTGGGTGAGTGAGTGGGTGAGTAAGTGGGTGGGTGAGTGGTGGAGTGAGTGGGTGGGTGAGTGGTGGAGTGAGTATGGGAGTGAGTGGGTGAGTGGGCGGGTGAGTGAGTGAGTGAGTGGGTGGGTGGGTGAGTGAGTGGTTGGGTGAGTGAGTGAGTGAGTGGATGGATGAGTGAGTGAGTGCGTGGGTGGGTGAGTGAGTGGGTGAGTGAGGGGGTGAGTGGGTGAGTGAGTGGGTGAGTGAGGGGGTGAGTGGGTGAGTGAGGTTGTGGGTAAGTGAGTGGGTGAGTGAGTGGGTGAGTAAGTGGGTGGGTGAGTGGTGGAGTGAGTGGGTGGGTGAGTGGTTAGATTGAGTATGGGAGTGAGTGGGTGAGTGGGCGGGTGAGTGAGTGAGTGAGTGGGTGAGTGGGTGGGTGGGTGAGTGAGTGGGTGGGTGGGTGAGTAAGTGAGTGGGTGAGTGAGTGGGTGAGTGAGTGGGTGAGTGAGTGGGTGGGTGACTGAGTGAGTGGGTGAGTGAATGAGTGGTTGAGTGAATGGGGGAGTGAATTGGTGAGTGAGTGGGTGAGTGAGTGGGTGAGTGAGTGAGTGGGTGAGTGAGTGGGTGAGTGAGTGGGTGGGTGACTGAGTGAGTGGGTGAGTGAATGAGTGGTTGAGTGAATGGGGGAGTGAATTGGTGAGTGAGTGGGTGAGTGAGTGGGTGAGTGAGTGAGTGCGTGGATGGGTGAGTGAGTTAGTGAGCGAGTCAGCGGCTGACTCCGACAACTCAACTCGCCCTCCCTCCCGTCACCCCCTTACCAGGTGAGCGGGTGGTGAGCATTGACGGGGGTGGATGGTGTGGGGGGCGTGGCCACGATGTCAGCCGCCTGTCGTGATTGGCCCTTGCCCATGAGGTCAGTCGGAGCTCAGAGTATCCTGACCATGCCCGGCGGAGTGGCTCACTCGGGATACCTTCACAAGAAGGGGGGGACGCAGGTCTCATTCTTCGCCTGTGAGTCACCCACTCAGTCACCCACTCACTCACTCACCCACTCAACCACTCACTCAGCCAGTCACTCAGTCACTCACTCACTCACCCACTCAGTCACCCACTCACTCACTCACTCAACCACTCACTCAGCCAGTCACTCAGTCACTCACTCACTCACCCACTCAGTCACCCACTCACTCACCCACTCAGCCACTCAGCCACTCACTCAGCCAGTCACTCAGTCAGTCACTCACTCAGTCACTCACTCAGTCACTCACTCACTCAGTCACTCACTCAGTCACTCACTCAGTCACTCACCCACTCACTCAACCACTCAGTCACTCACTCACTCACTCAGTCAGTCACTCACTCAGTCACTCACTCAGTCACCCACTCACTCAGTCAGTCAGTCACTCACTCAGTCACTCACTCACTCAGTCACCCACTCACTCAGTCACCCACTCACTCACCCACTCACTCACCCACTCACTCACCCACTCACTCATTCAGTCACTCACTCACTCAGTCACTCAGTCACTCACTCAGTCACTCAGTCACCCACTCACTCAACCACTCACTCAGTCACTCACTCACTCAGTCACTCACTCAGTCACTCACCCACTCACTCACTCAGTCACTCACTCCCTCAGTCACTCACTCACTCACTCGGTCACTCACTCACCCACTCACCCACTCAGCCACCAGCTCACTCACTCATCCACTCACTCACTCAGCCACCCACTCACTCACTCAGCCACCCACTCACCCACTCACTCATCCACTCACTAACCCACTCACTCACCCACTAACTCATCCATCCATCCACTCATCCACTCACTGACCCACTCACCCACCCATCCACTCACTCATCCATCCACCAATCCACTCACTCATCCACCCATCCACTCGCCCACTCACCCACTCACTCATGAACCCATCCAACCATCCACCCATCCACTCATCCACCCATCCACCCATCCACTCACTCACCCACTCGCCCACCTATCCACTCACTCAACCACTCACTCACCTATCCACTCACTCAACCACTCACTCACCCACTCACTCATCCATCCACCCATCCATCCTCCCATCCACTCACTCATCCACCCATCCACCCATCCACTCACTCACCCACTCACCCACCCATCCACTCACTCACCCACTCACTCATCCATTTATCCACTTACCCACCCATCCACTCACACACCCACTCACTCACCCACTCACTCACCCACTCACTCACCCACTCACTCATCCATCCACCCATCAACTCAAGCACCCACTCACTCACCCACTCACTCATCCATCCACCCATCCACTCACTCATCCACCCATCCACTCGCCCACTCACCCACTCACTCACTCATCCACCCATCCACCCATCCACTCATCCACCCACTCACCAACTCACTCACCCACTCACCAACTCACTCACCCACCCACCCACTAACTCAGCCACTCACTCACTCACCCACTCACTCACCCACTCACCCACTAACTCAGTAACTCACTCACTCACCCACTCACTCACCCACCCACCCACCCACCAACTCAGTCACTCACTCACTCACTCACCCACTCACTCACTCAACCACTCACTCACCCACTCACTCATCCATCCACCCATCCATCCTCCCATCCACTCACTCATCCACCCATCCACTCGCCCACTCACCCACTCACTCATGAACCCATCCAACCATCCACCCATCCACTCATCCACCCATCCACTCGCTCACCCACTCGCCCACCTATCCACTCACTCAACCACTCACTCACCCACTCACTCATCCATCCACCCATCCATCCTCCCATCCACTCACTCATCCACCCATCCACCCATCCACTCACTCACCCACTCACCCACCCATCCACTCACTCACCCACTCACTCATCCATTTATCCACTTACCCACCCATCCACTCACACACCCACTCACTCACCCACTCACTCACCCACTCACTCATCCATCCACCCATCCACTCGCCCACTCACCCACTCACTCACTCATCCACCCATCCACCCATCCACTCACTCACCCACTCACCCACCCACCCACTAACTCACTCACTCACCTACTGTTTCACCCTCACGCTCATACATTCACTCACTCATCCACCCACCTACCCACTTGCTAACTCTCCCACTCAGTCACTCACTCACCCACTCACTCACACTCACTCACTCATCCACCCACCTACTCACTTGCTAACTCTCCCACTCATCCATCCGCTCGCTCACTCGCCCACTCAGTCACTCACCCACTCACTTACACTCACACTCACCCACCCATCTACTCGCTCACTCACCCACTCACTCAATCACCCACTCACTCATCCATCCACCCATCCACTCACGGACCCACTCACTCGCCCACTCATTCATCCATCCACCCATCCACTCACTCATCCACCCATCCACTCGCCCACTCACCCACTCACTCACTCATCCACCCATCCACTCACTCACCCACCCACCCACTAACTCAGTCACTCACCCACTCACTCACCCACCCACCCACTAACTCAGTCACTCACTCACCCACTCACCCACCCACTCACCCACCCACCCACTCAGTCACTCAGTCACTCACCCACTCACCCACCCACCCACTAACTCAGTCACTCACTCACTCACCCACTCACTCACCCACCCACCCACTAACTCAGTCACTCACTCACTCACCCACTCACTCACCCACCCACCCACTAACTCACCCACCCACCCACTAACTCAGTCACTCACTCACTCACCCACTCACTCACTCACCCACCCACCCACTAACTCAGTCACTCACTCACTCACCCACTCACTCACCCACCCACCCACTAACTCAGTCACTCACTCACCTACTGTTTCACCCTCACGCTCATACATTCACTCACTCATCCACCCACCTACCCACTTGCTAACTCTCCCACTCATCCATCCGCTCGCTCACTCGCCCACTCAGTCACTCACCCACTCACTCACTTACACACTCACCCACCCACCCATCCACTCGCTCACTCACCCACTCACTCAATCACCCACTCACTCACACTCACCCACTCACTCACCCACCCACCCATCCACTCACTCAACCACTCACTCACTCACCCACTCACCCACCCAGTCACTTACTATCTGTGTGTGTGTCTGTGTGTATGTGTGTTTGTCTGTGTGTATGTGTGTTTGTCTGTGTGTATGTGTGTCTGTCTGTGTGTGTATGTGTGTGTGTATGTGTGTGTGTATGTGTGTGTGTATGTGTGTGTGTATGTGTTTATGTATGTGTGTATGTGTTTATGTATGTGTGTATGTGTGTATGTATGTTTATGTATGTGTGTGTGTGGAGTGTATGTGTGTGGAGTGTATGTATGGGTGTGTATGTGTGTGTATGTATGTGTATGTATGTGAATGTGTGTATGTGTGTGTATGTGTGTTTATGTGTGTATGTGGAGTGTATGTGTGTGGAGTGTATGTATGTGTCTGTGTGTGTATGTGGAGTGTGTGTATGTGGAGTGTATGTGTGTGGAGTGTATGTATGTGTCTGTGTGTATGTGTGTTTGTGGAGTGTATGTGTGTGTGTATGTGGAGTGTATGTACGTGTATGTGTGTGTTTGTCTGTGTGTGTGTATGTGTGTGTGTATGTGTATGTGGAGTGTATGTGTGTGTGTATGTGTGTTTGTGTGTGTATGTGGAGTGTATGTATGTAGAGTGTGTGTGTATGTATGTAGAGAGTGTATGTGGAGTGTATGTATGTAGAGTGTGTTTGTATATGTGTATGTGTGTATGTGTGTGTGTGTATGTGGAGTGTATGTATGTAGAGTGTACGTATGTAGAGAGTGTATGTGGAGTGTATGTATGTAGAGTGTGTGTGTCTGTGTGTGTGTGTGTGTCTGTGTGTATGTGTGTGTCTGTGTGTATGTATGTAGAGTGTGTGTGTGTATGTGTGTGTGTGTCTGTGTGTATGTGTGTGTATGTGGAGTGTATGTATGTAGAGTGTGTGTGTCTGTGTGTGTGTGTGTCTGTGTGTATGTGTGTGTCTGTGTGTATGTATGTAGAGTGTGTGTGTATGTGTGTGTGTGTGTCTGTGTGTATGTGTGTGTATGTGGAGTGTATGTATGTAGAGTGTGTGTGTGTCTGTGTGTATGTGTGTGTCTGTGTGTATGTATGTATGTAGAGTGTGTGTGTCTGTGTGTGTGTGTATGTGAGTGTATGTATGTAGAGTGTATGTATATGTGGAGTGTATGTATGTAGAGTGTGTGTGTCTGTGTGTGTGTCTGTGTGTATGTATGTAGAGTGTGTGTGTCTGTGTGTGTATGTGGAGTGTATGTATGTAGAGAGTGTATGTGGAGTGTATGTATGTAGAGTGTATGTGTATGTGGAGTGTATGTATGTAGAGTGTGTGTGTCTGTGTGTATGTGTGTGTATGTATGTAGAGTGTGTGTGTCTGTGTGTGTCTGTGGAGTGTATGTATGTAGAGTGTATGTGTGTGTATGTATGTATGTAGAGTATGTATGTAGAGTGTGTGTGTCTGTGTGTGTCTGTGTGTATGTGTATGTATGTGGAGTGTATGTATGTAGAGTGTGTGTGTCTGTGTGTGTATGTATGTGGAGTGTATGTATGTAGAGTGTATGTGTTTGTGTGTCTGTGTGTGTGTCTGTGTGTGTGTGTGGAGTGTATGTATGTAGAGTGTATGTGTGTGTGTCTGTGTGTGTGTGTTGAGTGTATGTATGTAGAGTGTATGTATGTAAAGTGTATGTGTTTGTGTGTCTGTGTCTGTGTGTGTACGTGTGTATGTGTCTGTGTGTATGTGTGGAGTGTATGTATGTAGAGTGTGTGTGTATGTGTGTGTGTATGTGGAGTGTATGTATGTAGAGTGTGTGTGTGTATGTGTGTGTGTATATGTGTATGTGTGTATGTGTGTGTATGTATGTATGTGGAGTGTATGTATGTAGAGTGTGTGTGTCTGTGTGTGTGTGTGCAGGGCCCTTGCGCTACGTGGTGCTGCACGCTGGCTGCCTCTACTACTACAAGAGCAGCACAGCCACCATACCACGTGGTTCCTTCTCACTGCGGGGATACAACAGGTGGGTGGTGAGTGGTGGGTGGGTGGTGGGTGGGTGGGTGGGTGAGTGGTGGGTGGGTGAGTGGTGGGTGGGTGGGTAAGTGGGTGGGTGGTGAGTGGGTGAGTGAGTGGGTGGGTGGGTGAGTGAGTGAGTGGGTGGGTGAGTGGGTGGGTGAGTGAGTGAGTGGGTGGGTGGTGAGTGGGTGGGTGGGTGAGTGAGTGGGTGGTGAGTGAGTGGGTGAGTGGGTGAGTGGTGGGTGGGTGAGTGAGTGGGTGGGTGGGTGGGTGAGTGAGTGAGTGAGAGGGTGGGTGGGTGAGTGAGTGAGTGGGTGGGTGAGTGGGTGGGTGAGTGAGTGAGTGGGTGGGTGGTGAGTGGGTGGGTGGGTGAGTGAGTGGGTGGTGAGTGAGTGGGTGAGTGGGTGAGTGGTGGGTGTGTGGGTGAGTGGGTGAGTGGGTGGGTGGGTAAGTGAGTGGGTGGGTGGGTGAGTGAGTGGGTGAGTGAGTGGGTGAGTGAGTGAGTGGGTCAGTGGGTGGGTGAGTGGGTGGGTGGGTGGGTAAGTGAGTGGGTGGGTGAGTGAGTGGGTGAGTGAGTGGGTCAGTGGGTGAGTGAGTGAGGGAGTGGGTGAGTGGGTGGGTGAGTGAGTGGGTGGGTGGGTGAGTGACTGAGTGAGAGGGTGAGTGAGTGGGTGAGTGGATGGGTGATTGGATGGGTGAGTGGGTGAGTGAGTGGGTGGGTGAGTGAGTGAGTGGGTAAGTGGGTGAGTGAGTGAGTGGGTAAGTGGGTGAGTGAGTGAGTGGGTGGGTGAGTGAGTGGGTGGGTGAGTGAGTGGGTGAGGGAGTGGGTGAGTGGGTGGGTGGAGTGGGTGAGTGGGTGGGTGGGTGAGTGGGTGGGTGGGTGAGTGAGTGAGTGGGTGGTGAGTGGGTGAGTGAGTGGGTGGGTGGATGGGTGAGTGAGTGGGTGGGTGAGTGGTGAGTGGGTGAGTGAGTGAGTGGGTGGGTGAGTGGGTGGGTGGGTGAGTGAGTGGGTGAGTGGGTGGGTGGGTGAGTGAGTGGGTGAGTGGGTGGGTGAGTGCGTGAGTGGGTGGGTGGGTGGGTGAGTGAGTGAGTGGGTGAGTGAGTGAGTGGGTGAGTGAGTGAGTGGGTGAGTGAGTGAGTGGGTGAGTGGGTGAGTGAGTTATTGGGTGAGTGAGTGATTGGGTGAGTGAGTGAGTGGGTGAGTGGGTGAGTGGGTGGGTGAGTGGGTAAGTGGGTGGGTGAGTGGGTGGGTGAGTGCGTGAGTGAGTGGGTGGGTGGGTGAGTGAGTGAGTGAGTGGGTGAGTGAGTGGGTGAGTGAGTGAGTGGGTGAGTGGGTGGGTGAGTGAGTGATTGGGTGAGTGAGTGAGTGGGTGGGTGAGTGGGTGGGTGGGTGAGTGAGTGGGTGAGTGAGTGAGTGGGTGAGTGGGTGAGTGGGTGAGTGAGTGGGTGAGTGAGTGGGTGAGTGGGTGAGTGGGTGATTGAGTGAGTGAGTGGGTGAGTGATGGGTGAGTGGGTGAGTGAGTGGGTGAGTGGGTGGGTGAATAGGTGAGTGGGTGGGTGGGTGCGTGAGTGGGTGAGTGAGTGGGTGAGTGGGTGAGTGAGTGGGTGATTGGGTGAGTAAGTGAGTGGGTGAGTGGGTGGGTGGGTGGGTGAGTGGGTGAGTGGGTGAGTGATTGGGTGGGTGAGTGAGCGAATGGGTGAGCGAGTGGAATATTCTCGAGACGGAGTGATGTGGTACAGGAGGACGTGTAGCTGAGTGGACTTGCCGATGACCGGTACCAGCGGTGTCAAGATCGGCCTCTGTGGAGGAGGAGGCTCTTGAAGGACGCTACTGGGCTAGTGCCAGGCTAGGTGCACCTTGAGGCTACTGGGAAGTTGGAGGCAGTCGCCCTCCAGCAACAACGGAGGGCAGAGGAGCGACGCTCACAACAACGAGCGGAGCGCCGGGTGGATAAAACGCAGAAGGGGGCACAGTAGGGGGCACAGGTGGTGCATCAGCACCTAGCCTGGCACAGCAGTACAACACATTGCACCTGCAGGGTCTGTCCCGTGACCTACTCCTCGTGCACCTAGCCTGGCACAGCAGTCACCCCATGGCACCTGCAGGGTCTGTCACGTGACCTCCTCCTCGTGCACCTAGCCTGGCACAGCAGCACAACCCACGTCACCTGCAGGGTCTGTCCACGTGACCTCTTCCTCGTGCACCTAGCCTGGCACCCACCTGGGTGTGCCCGCAACTAGCGAGGCTACCTGGGCCAACTTTACAACCTGTACCTTTAGCTTTGCCCTCTACCCCCCCCTCTCCCACGTGACAGGGTGATGAGGGCGCTACAGGAGACATCGATGGGCAACGTTTACCCCTTCAAGTTGGTCCATCACAACGTGAGACACCGTACGTGGATCTTCTCAGCCGCGAACGAGGGGGAGAGGAAGGTGGGTGGGTGAGTGAGTGGGTGGGTGGGTGAGTGGGGGAGTGGGTGGGTGGGTGGGTGAGTGGGTGGGTGGGTTAGTGGGTGAGTGGGTGGGTGAGTGGGTGAGTGGGTGGGTGAGTGGGTGGGTGGGGGAGTGGGTGGGTAGGTGGGTGAGTGGGTGGGTGGGTGAGTGAGTGAGTGGGTGGGTGGGTGGGGAGTGAGTGGGTGAGTGGGTGAGTGGGTGAGTGAGTGGGTGGGTGGGTGAGTGGGTGAGTGGGTGGGTGAGTGGGTGAGTGGGTGGGTGGGTGGGTGAGTGAGTGGGTGGGTGGGTGAGTGGGTGGGTGAGTGGGTTAGTGGGTGGGTGAGTGAGTGGGTGAGTGGGTGAGTGGGTGGGTGGGTGGGTGAGTGGGTGGGTGGGTGGGTGAGTGGGTGAGTGGGTGGGTGAGTGGGTGGGTGGGTGGGTGAGTGGGTGGGTGGGTGAGTAAGTGGGTGAGTGGGTGAGTGGGTGGGGGAGTGAGTGGGTGATTGGGTGAGTGAGTGGGTGGGTGAGTGGGTGGGTGAGTGGGTGAGTGGGTGGGTGAGTGGGTGAGTGAGTGGGTGGGTGAGTGAGTGAGTGGGTGGGTGGGTAAGTGGGTGGGTAGTTGGGTGGGTGGGTGAGTGGGTGGGTAGGTGGGTGGGTGGGTGAGTGGGTGGGTGAGTGGGTGGGTGCGTGGGTGGGTGAGAGGGGGAGTGAGTGGGTGGGTGAGTGAGTGAGTGGGTGGGTGGGTGGGTAGGGGAGTGAGTGGGTGAGTGGGCGAGTGGGTGAGTGAGTGAGTGGGTGGGTGAGTGGGTGGGTGGGTGGATAGGGGAGTGAGTGGGTGAGTGGGTGGGTGAGTGAGTGGGTGGGTGGGTGGGTAGGGGAGTGAGTGGGTGAGTGGGTGAGTGAGTGAGTGGGTGGGTGAGTGGGTGGGTGGGTGGGTAGGGGAGTGAATGGGTGAGTGGGTGAGTGGGTGGGTGAGTGGGTGAGTGGGTGGGTGAGTGGGTGAGTGGGTGGGTGGGTGGGTGAGTGGGTGAGTGAGTGGGTGAGTGGGTGGGTAGGTGGGTGAGTGGGTGGGTGAGTGGGTTAGTGGGTGGGTGAGTGAGTGGATGAGTGGGTGGATGAGTGGGTGAGTGGGTGGGTGAGTGGGTGAGTGGGTTAGTGGGTGGGTGATTGAGTGAGTGAGTGGGTGAGTGAGTGGGTGAGTGGGTGGGTGAGTGAGTGAGTGAGTGGGTGGGTGGGTGTGTGGGTGAGTGAGTGAGTGAGTGGGTGAGTGGGTGAGTGGGTGGGTGGATGAGTGGGTGGGTGAGTGGGTGGGTGGGTGAGTGGGTGGGTGAGTGGGTGGGTGGGTGGGTGAGTGGGTGAGTGGGTGGGTGGGTGAGTGGGTGAGTGAGTGGGTGAGTGGGTGGGTGGGTGAGTGGGTGGGTGAGTGGGTTAGTGGGTGGGTGAGTGAGTGGATGAGTGGGTGGGTGAGTGGGTGAGTGGGTGGGTGAGTGGGTGAGTGGGTTAGTGGGTGGGTGATTGAGTGAGTGAGTGGGTGAGTGAGTGGGTGAGTGGGTGAGTGGGTGGGTGAGTGAGTGAGTGAGTGGGTGGGTGGGTGTGTGGGTGAGTGAGTGAGTGAGTGGGTGAGTGGGTGAGTGGGTGAGTGGGTGGGTGGATGAGTGGGTGGGTGAGTGGGTGGGAGGGTGAGTGGGTGGGTGAGTGGGTGGGTGAGTGGGTGGGTGGGTGAGTGGGTGGGTGAGTGGGTGAGTGTTTTGATGGGTGGGTGAGTGAGTGAGTGGGTGGGTGGGTGAGTGAGTGGGTGAGTGGGTGGGTGAGTGGGTGGGTGAGTGGGTGAGTGAGTGGGTGGGTGGGTGAGTGAGTGAGTGGGTGGGTGAGTGGGTTAGTGGGTGGGTGAGTGAGTGGGTGAGTGAGTGGGTGAGTGAGTGAGTGGGTGAGTGAGTGAGTGGGTGGGTGAGTGTGTGGGTGAGTGGGTGGGTGAGTGAGTGAGTGGGTGGGTGAGTGGGTGGGTGGGTGGGTGAGTGAGTGAGTGAGTGGGTGGGTGAGTGAGTGAGTGAGTGGGTGAGTGAGTGGGTGGGTGGGTGGGTGAGTGAGTGAGTGGGTGGGTGGGTGGGTGAGTGAGTGGGTGAGTGAGTGAGTGGATGAGTGGATGGGTGAGTGGGTGAGTGGGTGGGTGAGTGAGTGAGTGGGTGAGTGGGTGAGTGGGTGGGTGAGTGAGTGGGAGGGTGGGTAGGTGAGTGAGTGGGTGGGTGAGTGGGTGAGTGGGTGGGTGGGTGAGTGGGTGAGTGGGTGGGTGGGTGGGTGAGTGAGTGAGTGGGTGGGTGAGTGGGTGTGTGGGTTAGTGAGTGGGTGAGGGAGTGAGTGGGTGGGTGAGTGAGTGAGTGAGTGGGTGAGTGAGTGAGTGGGTGGGTGGGTGAGTGAGTGGGTGAGTGAGTGAGTGGGTGGGTGAGTTAGTGGGTGGGTGAGTGGATGAGTGGGTGATTGGGTGAGTGAGTGAGTGAGTGGATGAGTGAGTGGGTGAGTGGGTGGGTGAGTGGGTGAGTGAGTGGGTGAGTGGGTGAGTGGGTGAGTGGGTGGGTGAGTGAGTGAGTGGGTGGGTGGGTGTGTGGGTGAGTGAGTGAGTGAGTGGGTGAGTGGGTGAGTGGGTGGGTGGATGAGTGGGTGGGTGAGTGGGTGGGTGGGTGGGTGAGTGGGTGGGTGAGTGGGTGGGTGGGTGAGTGGGTGGGTGAGTGGGTGAGTGTTTTGATGGGTGGGTGAGTGAGTGAGTGGGTGGGTGAGTGAGTGGGTGAGTGGGTGGGTGAGTGGGTGGGTGAGTGGGTGAGTGAGTGGGTGGGTGGGTGAGTGAGTGAGTGGGTGGGTGAGTGGGTGAGTGGGTTAGTGGGTGGGTGAGTGAGTGAGTGGGTGAGTGAGTGGGTGAGTGAGTGAGTGGGTGAGTGAGTGAGTGGGTGGGTGAGTGTGTGGGTGAGTGGGTGGGTGGGTGGGTGAGTGAGTGGGTGGGTGAGTGGGTGGGTGGGTGAGTAAGTGAGTGAGTGGGTGGGTGAGTGAGTGAGTGGGTGAGTGAGTGGGTGGGTGGGTGGGTGAGTGAGTGAGTGAGTGGGTGGGTGGGTGAGTGAGTGGGTGAGTGAGTGAGTGGATGAGTGGATGGGTGAGTGGGTGAGTGGGTGGGTGAGTGGGTGAGTGGGTGAGTGGGTGAGTGGGTGGGTGAGTGAGTGGGAGGGTGGGTAGGTGAGTGAGTGGGTGGGTGAGTGGGTGAGTGGGTGGGTGGGTGAGTGGATGAGTGGGTGGGTGGGTGAGTGAGTGAGTGAGTGGGTGGGTTAGTGGGTGTGTGGGTTAGTGAGTGGGTGAGGGAGTGAGTGGGTGGGTGAGTGAGTGAGTGAGTGGGTGAGTGAGTGGGTGGGTGGGTGGGTGAGTGAGTGGGTGAGTGAGTGAGTGAGTGGGTGAGTTAGTGGGTGGGTGAGTGGATGAGTGGGTGATTGGGTGAGTGAGTGAGTGGATGAGTGAGTGGGTGAGTGGGTGGGTGTGTGTGTGAGTGGGTGGGTGGGTGAGTGGGTGACTCATTGAGTGAGTGTGTTACATGTAACATGTTACATGTAACTTGTTACATGTAACATGTAACGTGTTGTGTGTGGTTACCAGGTGTGGATGTCTGCAATCCGGAGTGAGATTGAGAATTACCTTCGACCCCAGTCCAGTAATGAAAGGTGAGCACACGCCTGCTCTCTCCACTGCTGGAGTGACTGACTGAGTGACTGACTGCCTAAGTGACTGACTGAGTGACTGACTGACTGACTGAGTGAGTGACTGACTGACTGAGTGACTGACTGACTGAGTGAGTGACTGACTGACTGAGTGACTGACTGAGTGAGTGACTGCCTAAGTGACTGACTGAGTGACTGACTGACTGACTGAGTGAGTGACTGACTGACTGAGTGACTGACTGACTGAGTGAGTGACTGCCTAAGTGACTGACTGAGTGACTGACTGACTGACTGAGTGAGTGACTGAGTGACTGAGTGAGCACACGCCTGCTCTCTCCACTGCTGGAGTGACTGACTGAGTGAGTGACTGAGTGACTGACTGCCTAAGTGACTGACTGAGTGAGTGACTGACTGCCTAAGTGACTGACTGACTGAGTGACTGACTGACTGAGTGACTGCCTAAGTGACTGACTGAGTGACTGACTGACTGACTGACTGAGTGAGTGACTGACTGACTGAGTGAGCACCCGCCTGCTCTCTCCACTGCTGGAGTGACTGACTGACTGAGTGAGTGACTGCCTAAGTGACTGACTGACTGAGTGACTGACTGACTGAGTGAGTGACTGAGTGACTGAGTGAGTGACTGAGTGAGTGACTGCCTAAGTGACTGACTGACTGAGTGACTGACTGACTGAGTGAGTGACTGAGTGACTGAGTGAGTGACTGCCTAAGTGACTGACTGACTGAGTGACTGAGTGAGTGACTGAGGAAGTGACTGACTGAGTGACTGCCTAAGTGACTGACTGACTGAGTGACTGACTGACTGAGTGAGTGACTGAGTGACTGAGTGAGTGACTGCCTAAGTGACTGACTGACTGAGTGACTGACTGACTGAGTGAGTGACTGAGTGACTGAGTGAGTGACTGCCTAAGTGACTGACTGACTGAGTGACTGACTGACTGAGTGAGTGACTGAGTGAGTGACTGCCTAAGTGACTGACTGACTGAGTGACTGACTGACTGACTGAGTGAGTGACTGAGTGACTGAGTGAGTGACTGCCTAAGTGACTGACTGACTGAGTGAGCACCCGCCTGCTCTCTCCACTGCTGGAGTGACTGACTGACTGAGTGAGTGATTGCCTGAGTGACTGACTGACTGAGTGACTGACTGAGTGACTGAGTGACTGAGTGTGTGACTGACTGAGTGACTGAGTGAGTGACTGAGGAAGTGACTGACTGAGTGACTGCCTAAGTGACTGACTGACTGAGTGACTGACTGAGTGAGTGACTGCCTAAGTGACTGACTGAGTGACTGACTGACTGAGTGACTGAGTGACTGAGTGTGTGACTGACTGAGTGACTGACTGAGTGAGTGACTGGGGAAGTGACTGACTGAGTGACTGAGGAAGTGACTGACTGAGTGACTGCCTAAGTGACTGACTGACTGAGTGAGTGACTGCCTAAGTGAGTGACTGAGTGACTGAGGAAGTGAGTGACTGAGTGACTGACTGAGTGACTGAGTGACTGCCTAAGTGAATGACTGAGTGACTGACTGACTGAGTGACTGAGTGAGTGACTGACTGACTGAGTGACTGCCTAAGTGACTGACTGAGTGACTGAGGAAGTGAGTGACTGAGGAAGTGAGTGACTGAGTGACTGACTGAGTGACTGAGTAAGTGAGTGACTGAGTGACTGAGTGACTGAGTGACTGCCTAAGTGAGTGACTGAGTGACTGACTGAGTGACTGAGTGACTGAGGAAGTGAGTGACTGACTGAGTGACTGAGTGACTGCCTAAGTAAGTGGCTGAGTAACTGAGGAAGTGACTGAATGAGTTACTGACTGACTGAGTGACTGAGTGACTGCCTAAGTGAGTGACTGAGTGACTGAGGAATTGAGTGACTGAGTGACTGACTGACTGATTGACTGAGTGACTGCCTAAGTGAGTGACTGAGTGACTGAATAAGTGAGTGACTGAGTGAGTGACTGAGGAAGTGAGTGACTGAGTGACTGACTGACTGACTGAGTGACTGACTGACTGAGTGTCTGACTGAGTGACTGACTGACTGAGTGGCTGAATGAATGACTGAATGAGTGACTGAATGGCTGACTGACTGAGTGAGTGACTGAGTGACTGACTGAGTGACTGACTGACAGAGTGAGTGACTGACTGAGTGAGTGACTTACTGACCGAGTGACTGACTGAGTGACTGACTGAGTGACTGACTGAGTGAGTGACGGAGTGACTGACTGAGTGACTGACTGAGTGACTGACTGAGTGAGTGACTGAGTGACGGAATGAGTGACTGAGTGGCTGACTGACTGAGTGACTGACTGAATGACTGACTGAGTGACTGAGTGACTGACTGAGTGACTGAATGAGTGAGTGAGTGACTGACTGAGTGACTGAATGAGTGAGTGAGTGACTGACTGAGTGACTGACTGACTGAGTGACTGACTTACTGACTTAGGGGGATTTTTGTCTGTCCCAGGAGGAATTCAGGCAGCAGTGACAAGTTCTATGAGCACTGAGTAGCTGACTGACTGAGTGACTGACTGTCTGAGTGACATACTGACTGAGTGACTGAGTAACAGACTGAGTGACTGACTGACTGAGTGACTGACTGTCTTAGTGACTGACTGACTGAGTGAGTGACTGACTGAGTGAGTGACTTAGTGAGTGACTACTGACTGACTGACTGAGTGACTGACTGAGTGACTGACTGAGTGACTGAGTGACTGAGTGAGTGACTGAGTGAGTGACTGAGTGAGTGACTGAGTGACTGAGTGAGTGACTGAGTGACTGACTGAGTGAGTGACTGAGTGAGTGAGTGACTGACTGAGTGTCTGACTGAGTGACTGACTGACTGAGTGGCTGAATGAATGACTGAATGAGTGACTGACTGTCTGAGTGACATACTGACTGAGTGACTGGGTAACAAACTGAGTGACTGACTGAGTGACTGACTGTCTGAGTGACTGACTGACTGACTGAGTGAGTGACTGACTGAGTGAGTGACTTAGTGAGTGACTACTGACTGACTGACTGAGTGACTGACTGAGTGACTGACTGAGTGACTGAGTGACTGACTGAGTGACTGAGTGAGTGACTGAGTGAGTGACTGAGTGACTGAGTGAGTGACTGAGTGAGTGACTGACTGAGTGAGTGACTGAGTGAGTGACTGACTGACTGAGTGTCTGACTGACTGAGTGAGTGAGTGAGTGACTGACTGAGTGACTGACTGACTGAGTGTCTGACTGACTGAGTGAGTGGCTGAGTGACTGAGTGAGTGAGTGAGTGACTGACTGAGTGACTGACTGAGTGACTGACTGACTTAGAGGGATCTTTGTGTGTCCCAGGAGGAATTCAAGCAGCAGTGACAAGTTCTATGAGCAAGTGGAGATGCCTCTCCCTCTCCTGGACTCCACGTGGAGTGGTGGAAGTCAAGGTGATGGTGGTGATGGTGGTGATGGTGGTGGTGATGGTGGTGATGGTGGTGATGGTGGTGGTGATGGTGGTGATGGTGGTGATGGTGGTGGTGATGGTGATGGTGGTGGTGATGGTGGTGATGGTGGTGGTGATGGTGATGGTGGTGGTGATGGTGGTGGTGATGGTGATGGTGGAGGTGATGGTGGTGATGGTGGTGGTGGTGATGGTGGTGATGGTGATGGTGGTGGTGATGGTGGTGATGATGGTGGTGGTGGTGATGGTGGTGGTGGTGATGGTGATGGTGGTGGTGATGGTGGTGATGATGGTGATGGTGGTGGTGATGGTGGTGATGGTGGTGATGGTGGTGATGATGGTGGTGATGATGGTGGTGATGGTGGTGATGATGGTGGTGATGATGGTGGTGATGGTGGTGATGATGGTGGTGGTGGTGGTGATGGTGGTGGTGATGGTGGTGGTGATGGTGATGGTGGTGATGGTGATGATGGTGGTGATGGTGATGGTGGTGATGGTGGTGATGGTGATGGTGGTGATGGTGGTGGTGATGGTGATGGTGGTGATGGTGGTGATGATGGTGGTGGTGATGGTGGTGGTGATGGTGATGGTGATGATGGTGGTGGTGATGGTGGTGGTGGTGATGGTGGTGGTGGTGATGATGGTGGTGGTGGTGATGGTGGTGATGATGGTGATGATGGTGGTGGTGATGGTGGTGGTGATGGTGGTGGTGGTGATGATGGTGGTGATGGTGGTGGTGATGGTGGTGATGGTGGTGGTGGTGATGGTGGTGGTGATGGTGGTGGTGATGGTGATGATGGTGGTGGTGGTGGTGATGATGGTGATGGTGGTGATGGTGGTGATGGTGGTGATGGTGGTGGTGATGGTGGTGGTGATGGTGATGATGGTGGTGGTGGTGATGATGGTGATGATGGTGATGGTGGTGGTGGTGGTGATGGTGGTGGTGGTGATGATGGTGATGGTGGTGGTGGTGATGGTGGTGGTGGTGATGGTGATGGTGATGATGGTGGTGGTGATGGTGATGATGGTGGTGATGGTGGTGATGGTGGTGGTGATGGTGGTGATGGTGGTGATGGTGGTGGTGATGGTGGTGGTGATGGTGGTGATGGTGGTGATGGTGATGGTGGTGGTGATGGTGGTGATGATGGTGGTGGTGGTGGTTGTGATGATGGTGGTGGTGATGGTGGTGATGATGATGGTGGTGATGGTGGTGGTGGTGGTGGTGATGGTGATGGTGGTGATGGTGGTGGTGGTGGTGATGGTGGTGATGGTGGTGGTGGTGATGGTGGTGATGGTGGTGATGGTGGTGGTGATCGTGGTGATGGT